ATTTAGGTCGGGACTATTAGAGGGCCAGTCCATAACCTCTGGGACATTATTACCAAGGAATTCCCGGGCAATACGGCCAGTATGCTTAGGGTCATTGTCTTTCTGTAATCGCCATTCACCCCTCAGCATACTGGGATATGCTCTTCCAATATTTATGTGTAATATTTTGCATCCATTATGCGTCTAAAACAAGTGAGACTTGTTTTACCTTTTACACAGAAACCACCCATGCAAATATTTTGCTTCGGTCTTTTGGCATAGGGCGAATTGGTCCTGCATTCTTATACCAATGCTTTATTGTATTACGAAACAATTGGAAGGATGCTTCATCACTAAATAATGTCTTTTCCCAATTGTCATCTTTGTGCTTTTGTGCCCATTCAACACATTTTGTTTATGGACTAATGTGAGCATTGGTGTAGAAAGGGGAAGAGTATTCCGGTATCCAAGGTTAGCCGGGTGTCCCGATACTGTTGAGCGAGAGACGTTTATTTCAGTATCCTCCGATTTTTCAGCAATAGATCCAGCAGAAATTGTAGGATTTCTTCTAATATACTGGCTAATTGCACGGGAAGCATCGGTTGTTATTTTCTTAATACGACCATATTACCACCTTTGTGTTTACATCTCCAGTTTCTTCAATTTTTTTAAGGTTTCGATAGATTGTTCCAAGTGGAAACTTTGTCAAAGAATGTATTTCAACAGCTGTTCGTATTCCCTGCTACTTCTTGCTTAGATGCGACCATTTTGATGTTTGATAAAATATAAATTTTATCAATTGTTAGAAAAATGATACTTGGAAATGATGGAGGCTTTTATTTCCGTATTTAACTATATCTTTTCCAAAATTGAGGAAGTTACACTTGATCTTTTTCCAAAAAATTGTCATTTTTTTTTGCACACCACTTCATTGTATTATTCCATTATTGCCGAATTTTTTTCTTTTGACCAAAGCGGAGGGTAATGCAAGAAAATATCTCATCATTTTTTTTAGCTATGTCAGTTGTCACGAATTTGGTCAACAGTTCCTTCAGACGACATTGACTTTGTTGGATATCAAATTATTTTTTGGAAATATGAAAAAATCCACCGATTAAAAAACCATTAAAAAAAGTAAGGAAATAATGAATTGCAGGGTAGATATTTTTCTGGAAGGGAAAAAAATTCCACTTGGTAATCTTCATCCTGTTACCAAAATTACTCAAAAGATCTATGAGCTTTTTTGCCTCTTTGTTATCAGATTGTTGAAAGTTCAGAAGTTGAAACGGATGAGATTAATTTTGATAAACTAAATATGCCTCCTGATCATCCTGCTCGTGGCATTCATGGCACTTTTTATTTGAATAATAATTTGTTGCTTCATACTTGTACTTCCAACTCTCAAGTAAGAGTTAAAAGTTATTACTGCTGGCAAGGTTTATAGGCAGGATGAAGATGATGCCACTCATACTCATCAATTTACACAAATAGAAGGTTTTGTGGTCAGTTACAATATTTCTTTTAGCCATTTAAAAGGCACATTAAACTTAGTCTTCAAAGAGTTGTTTGGAAAAATGCATCCACTTCGTTTCCGTTCCTCTTATTTTCCCTTTACTGAGCCAAGCATAGAGGTAGATGCTCAATGTATCTCCTTTCAGGGACAAGGATGTAATATTTGCAAAAAAACTGGTTGAGTAGAGATATTTGGAGCTGGTTTAATTCACCCCCAAGTTTTAAAAAGTTGTGGCTTCGATGATCAAAAATTTACTGATATTTTGCCTTTGGGATTAGGAATAGAAAGATTACTGATGATTAAATACGGAATTGAAGGCATTCGCCATTTTTATGTTAAATGATATTAGATTTTTAAGTCAATTTAAAGTTATGAATTAAGTCTAATAAGCCAAGAAAGTTAATAAGTTAACTAAACACTATAGAAAAATTGATTTTAACACCATTTCTTTCTTTTTTCAAAATACAGTCAGACCTCCATAAATGCACCCTCCATAAATGCACACCTTCCACAAATTCACGCTATGACTTGTTCCCAACCTCAGAACTTGGGGATAAATGCACACCCTCCATACTCTGCACTGCACGGTATTCTTTCAGTCCATTCCATATGAAAACTTTCCATAAATGCACCCCACGTGACTAAGATCATGTAACTAGGATAAATTTAGAAATCATCAGCAAAATTTTTTTAATTTAATATATAGCACCATTTAAAGAAAATTAATTCACACGTGATTAATAAAATAAATTGATGATCTATAAAATAAAAAATTTTTGATTGTTTTAAAGATAAATAAAATGGTATGTTTTATATAAATGTATATGAATATACTGACTATAATTAGAAAGATATTATTGAATTGAAGTGAATTGATTTTTAAATTATGACGTATTGAATAATATATTTACACATATCTATAGCCATCTCATAAAACTTTTAGGATCAAATGTGTTCTTGGAAAAAAGCAGAAACAAAATCGACCGATTCCTCATTGGATTCGACTTCGTACAGGAAACACAATCAGGTAAATAACAATATTATATATATAGATTAAAAATTTTCGTTTTTGTTTTTTTATTACGTTAATATTTTAATGAATGATATTTAATATTATTATTATATACATAGATATAATGCTAAACGTCGTCATTGGCGTCGTACTAAGCTCAATATTTAATACATTGTTAATTTGGAATATTTAATAAAATTTGGACTTAAAAAGAAAATTTCTTTCTTTTTCTTATAGAAAAAATTATTAATAAACTTGTAATTTCTTGCTGAATTTGACAAAGCAAAAATTTATATACTATATGGGCATGCTATAACAAAACCAGACAAAATGATTAGGAGGCACAATGCTTATTTATATGCTAAGCTAGCTACAAAATATTCTGTGGTCCTAAAGACCCAAACAAACAAACATCATTATATTTGCATCTTTATAAAGAAGTAATTTATATCTGGTTTTATATGCCTTGATGACTAGGATATTGGATTATATTGAAAAAATTATTTCATTGCTAAGATTAAACAAATATTGAGAGTCGAACACAATAAAACTAAAAAAATTGTAAAGGTGACAAAGAAATGGATGTGATTGGTTTGAATGGGATAATAACTGACTTACCAGGCACAAAAAACGGGCAGGAATGTGTTGTTTGATCAGATTGATAGTTTGTTATGCTTCCTTTGTTGTTCATAATTCAAACTTGGTAGTTCTCCGGCGTAAAAATCCAATGCTGAGATATTTTGTCTTTGATTGCTTGCTATGTTACTGTTGTATAATAACAATAAGACAATTCATATTAAAGAAAAGTTTCACACTTTCCGATTACCTTATCACTTAAATCTTTAAGAAATATACAATACACCTGGGGACGTTTGCATTCACGAGAGAGCAGACAGCCGTCTGGTTTACTGTAAAAATGTTGAAAATACACGGGTTAGATGACGCATTAATTATTGATAAATTTTTAAACAAAGTTGCAAATAAATAAATGTTGTTTCTTTCCCATAATTAAAATTAAGGTTATTGACTCTCTGTAATGAGATTGGTTAAATAAGGACACTGCAAAATTATAAATGAACCATCATTCCAGTCAATTAGTAAAAATTAAGGTTGTGTTGGTCTTTAAAAGACCGGTCCATTTGAACCACAGTCCTATTATTATAGGACCAGCGGATCTTTCATAATAAATAAAATTTTGCCAGGGTTTTATTGTGATAAAAAAACGGATTTATCGAAATGCCATCTAATCATATCTTAATCTGGTATGTTGGATATGTGATCTAGCCTCTTTCGTTTTATATTCGTATTTTTATTTTATATATATGACAGCATTAAATAATGAGTCAACCTCTTATAATGAAGAAGAACTCAAAGAAATTACTTCTTCTATAATACAATATAAATATCATCATTTAAGATCAAAGAACATTATTATCAGTTGTGCAACAATTAGACGACTTTCTTACCAGTGATGCAACCTTTCGCTTCTAAAGGTATGTAATATCGATTTCAATATTAATTTTTTTCAAATCCAATATTTAACATTTATTTATTCACATTAGGTGTCAATCTTTTATCAGCTATTTTAATTGAATGTCCAAGGGAACTAGTGAATCAAACTTCTGGTAAATACATGTATTTATATGTGTGTGTGTGCGAAGATTGTGGGCGAAATTCCTCTAGAAATCAATAGACAAAGTTTCGACAGGTTACACATTAATTGTTTATTAGGTTTCTGCAGAGTTTCACATTTGGGGGTTTTGTCAATTGTCAGAGTTTTGACAAGGTATATACTAATTGTTCATTAGAGTTTTGACAGAGTTTTGACAGTCATTAAGAGGTTTCGGCAAGCAACCTTAGTGTGTGTGCGCGCGTGTGTGCAGATTTATGCAACTGAATTGGCAGTAGTTACTTGTTCTGTTTGCATCTTTTTTATTAAATATACCCTCTGGATGTTTATTTGACAATCTCAATATGTTCTCATCATTAAATATAAACTAATTCCCAGATAAAACTATCTGATATTCCACTACTTGGATATGATTCTAATAAAGTATTTGAATTTATCTCTTAATTGTCAATATATAATATTAGTGCTATTATTATTACCTAAGGCATTTAAAATATTAGTTTTCAAATATCTCAAGCGTTACGAATATTTGAATGTTCGGATATCTAAAATTATGTGTATATTCGAATTTTTATCAGAGCTGGGCCGCGTAACTTATACGGGCACTTGGTTAAACTGACTAAAACTTGACTATGACAGGGTTCGAATATAAAAATAGTGTCCACCTGTAGATCATTTTGTATTAATATATGGGGGCGCTCTAGTAAATTTTGTTACACAGAAAAA